TTCCCTGGTGAGTTTCCTTTCTTCCTGGGCTGCCCTGTGCCTTTCCTCCTCAAGGGCCTTTCCTGGAGCCTCTTCCCATTTCCCTGATGTGGTCAATGATGCCAGGCACAGTCAGGCAGAGCTGGGCTTGGGGCCTCACAGGGCACTTCCTATCGTTTCAGACAGAACTATCTCCAGAGTCAGCCCTAAAATTAATGCAATCAACTTTTAAAATAGCTGTAATTTGTTTCTTAATGCTGTGCAAAATGCAGTTGTGAGCCCTTTGGTAAAGCAGCAGTGTTTTAAACTCCTGGTAACCAGACCGTCCAACTCAGCTGAGCTCCTATAATCAAAGCCCATTTGTCTACAGCCTTTCGTGCCTCTTTCTGTTTGACAGGGTGGGTATCCCTCACCCAAAATGACCTGGGCAGTGCCAGAGTAAGCATGCAGGCGGTCCGGGGGCCTCTTTGCCTGCGTGCTGGGCAGGTGGCCTGGCCGGCTCCAGCCCTCGTCCCGCTCACTCTCCTTCCAGCGAGGAACTTTTCCCCTCCTCAGCTGAGGGTCTCTTCTGCTCGCTGTCCTCTCCACTCTAGGTCAGCTTTGTGTAAAGATTCAATGACGATGTGTTTTTGTGGTCTGAATCTGAGGCTCAGAGGCCCTGACCTGCTGACCTATTTTCCTTTGAAGGAGAGCACTTGACCTCACATTTTTCTTGGGATTATTTCTTTATTTCAAGGAGTTCTGGCCTAACACTGGTTTGCTGAGTCCACTCAGACAGCAACTCAACATGAAAATAGTGCATGACAACATAAACAATCGTTCCTTGTTTACTTGGGTTTATTATAGAATTTACAATATTTGAATTAATATTTTTTGAAGGAAAGCTTTCCCACCTTAACTATGAAGGATAAACCAATGAGTTGTAAATTCATAAAATGTTGATAATTTTGCTTTATTTGGCATCTTGTCACTCATGTCAATGTTGGAGGACATTTGTAAGTCTGGCATCAATAGGCTTCCAATTCTTTGTATATTGATAAGAGCATCAATATGATGAATGATATGAAACAATTATGAAAATAAATATCATTGAATATGAAATGCTTCTAAATAATTATTTAAAATGTTGTTTTCTCCAGTGCCCATGTGCCCTCTGTATTAGTTATTAGAAAAAAAATCAAATAGATTATGTGGTTACAAATATTTTGTTTGGGAGTTACCATGCTTATATTCACAAGACAATTAGCACTTTTACGCCACGCTATACTGTTAACTCAGGACATTTGTGTATTATTTCTGAGTCAAAACTAGACCATGACATGGCAGCAATGCCTATTCACCAAACTCTTGCAAGGAAAGAGGTTCCGGACTTGGGAGGCCAACCCAGCTCATCTGCTGGGACATCCTGCTTCGAAGCCTGTGTGTAGTCACATTTCTTGATTGCCCTCCTCTGCTTGCCAGAGAAAGACAAGCAATTATTTCCAAGCCTGAATCCATTAACCATCAACTGTCTATTTTCAACGTTGAGAAAAGAGTTAAGCAGGAAAACAAAAAATGTGTTTGACTATGAAAATATTTTCTGCACTTACAAAATAAATGAGAAGACCATTATCTAATCTATATGGCCTAAATCTCTAGATGGAAAGTATTTTTTTTAATTAAAGAGGATAAACTAGAACACCCTCCTAGCTGCTAGAGATGGAGGGCGTCCCTGCCCCACACAGGCAGGTCACCTGCCCTGTCCAAGCGCACTTCAGGCCGGTGGGGCCTCTGGGTGACGTCCACATCCTCTTGCTCTCTGGATTAGCACTGACTTCCCTCCTGTTCCATGTAACTAATCAGAAGTGGGAGAGAATATCAACAAGAATAGAACCCGCAGTGGTGTGAGAGAAGCGGAGACTGAGCCCGGGTGCGCACCAGGCACCAACCTGGCAACAACCTGGGTCCGGGAGGGGTCCTGCCTGAGCCCTCAGCCTCCACAGGGCTCAGGATGGGGCCCGGTTGCACATGTAGGACTGAGAGCTGCTGGAGAGGTAGAACCACCACAGGATTTACTTGCTCTTGGGGGCACAATGAAAAGCTATACTTGTCTCTAAATGGCAACTTCTATTCTAACTGTACCACCAGGTCACTCCCCACACTGCAGCAAATTATGATTCTGTATTCAGGGTGATCAGTGCAGACCCTCACAAGAGTGTCCTGGGGCTGCCCTGGCCCCCATGGGGCCTGGTCCTTAGTTAGGAACAGGATTCCTGTGGGGCTGAGTTAAGGTTGATGGAGAGAAACAAAAAGATCTGTTTTTAAAAGCTGAAAAGGAATTGTTTGTTGTAGGAGACAAAGTGCAGACTTGGCTTTGGCCTGATGAGGAGCAGCAAGTGTCCCTACAGCTCTCTGGAAAACACCAAGAAATGAATCAAGTTTGAACCGAGAGTACCTCAAAGTCCCTGGTGTCATGGAGTTGCCTGGTACTATCCATGGCACATCCACCGTGAAGGATTCAAGGATTACCTTCCATTGTCGGTGTGTTAACAATCGGACTGCCTTACAGAGGAAGTTTTACCTTCCACTGTCAGTTATGTTAACAATCAGACCGTGTTACAAAGGAGGTGAGAGGTGATTATCATCTTTAACAACCTGAAACCATCACAGTAATATGTAAACATTAGCGTGTTTCATGTAACGTGCACTCAACTGCAAAGCTGCTCTTTAATTACTAAAACTACGGAAAAATATTTTCTGTCTTCCAAGAGGGAGAACTCAAAATCTGGCTTCCCTTCAGCTTTTATTTGTGCCACGGGAGGATGGGTCCACCCGAGTTTATCCCCCAGGCTGTGGAACAAATAAAAATGGCTCTGTTGTGACTGGCTGCCAACAGCGTCTCTGGAGCTGTGAGTGGAGCACATGCCACATTCCGATCTAGAAGGTCCTATCGCGCTTTGGAGAAGGGCTTAGAGTTGTGAAATTAAACTGTTACCCAGAGCACTTTTAAATAAAGTGTGCAGAAATGCCATCCATAATGGAAAAACAAGTTCCATTTTTACAGAAACATTGCTATTATGAGATGCATAAGAGAAAAGGTGTGAAAGAGTTAAAAGAGGCCACCAGGGGCGATTTGGAAGGGACGATTGCGAGAGGAGCCACCACGTCCCCACCACACGCTCTGAGAAGGGCAGAAAGAGAGCCGCACCTGCACCCACAGAGGCCCGAATTGTGCCTGGACCACGTTGCAGCCTGTCCCAAACCAGAGAAGCTGACGAGATCCTTGTCCTCCATTACCCCAACAAGAGCTAGATGGTAAAATTGGGACACAATTTTAAGCATATATACTGGATGTGTATGCCTCGTGAGGAAACGTTATTCTCAAATCTGCCAGTGTTGAGTACAGTTATGGTGCAATATCAATGGGCCAAAAAGACAATAATCATATACCTAAGTCACTTCACTGTGAGGACCATTTCGAAGCCTTTAAACAATAAACAGGACTTTTACATAGATATTTTTGCACTTTTTGTATATAATGTTTTAATAGCAGTTTATGATACCATGCAAAATATTAATTTAGGTTATTTCCAAGACCCTATCCTAATAGGGGTAGACCACTACTGAGCTCTCTTTCTTCAAAATCAAATTTGAGCCAAAGCCTCTTACTGCTGCTCACTGAGTCGTTTGAGTATTGCTTATTTTGTGAGAAATTAGGTAAAACCTCAGTAGCCAAGACTGCCTAGCTTCTCCAGATGGATGAGCACATACCTATGATCACAGGTCCCTCCTACAAATGATGGATAATAGGTCCTTTTAAAGGCAGATGAGACTTACCTCAATGTAAGAGGCTGAAGTCACAGCCTTCACTTAACAGCTTGCAGAGAGGGTGCTTTGGCGCTGCCCAGACAAGGTGGAATGGGTGTGGAGTGTGGGAAGAGGCTCTCCGGAGGCAGGTGCAGTGGGTGGAGCAGGGCAGGAGTGGCTCGGGCAGGTCCCTCACTGGGACAGGCCCTCCAGGCTGGCTGTGGCTGCCATCTGCTTCTGGGGCTTGTGTCAGTGCCCCAGTGCTCACATCACACTCTCTTCTGCTTACGACAAGAATGGAGACACATGTTTCACTTCTGGAATTGATGACCATAGGGTATTAGTCCATTCTCATACTGCTATGAAGAAATACCCAAGACTGGGTAATTTATAAAGAAAAAGAGGTTTAATGGACTCACAGTTCCACATGGCTGGGGAGAGCTCACAATCACGGCAGAAAGCAAAGGAAGAGCAAAGGCATGTCTTACATGGCGGCAGGCAAGGGAGATTGTGCAGGGGAACTGCCCTTTATGAAACCATCAGATCACGTGAGACTTAGTCACTGTCACAAGAACAGCATGCGAAAGATCTGCCCCATGATTCAGTTACGTCCCACTGTGTCCCTCCCATGACACGTGAGAATTATGGGAGCTATAATTCAAGATGAGATTTGGGTGGGGACACAGGCAAACCATATCACATGGGAAGCAGTGACTGAAGCATGATTTTGGAATATTCTGTTTCTGCACAGTGTCTGACAATTCTGATTCTAAAAGGATCCTGATGCCCAAGTCTGTCCAGGTGGATTTGGGCTCAGTTTCCTCACTGTGAACATGGAAGAGACAGAGAAACTGTTCCCTAAGATCCCATGAAGTTCTAATTTTCCTAAAACCTACAGGAAACGTGTGCTTTGACACTTTGGCATAAAATGCAGAGATTCTATTTAGCTCCTGGATTTAATATAAAGGAAAAGATGTGGCCAAGAATCTTGAGGTTAGCATGTGGGCAGGAAATAAACCCGTCAATGGTCAGATGGGATAAAAGTGTTCTTGAAACTTTTTCCCTGTTTTCTGCAGCCCCTTTCCCTCTCCTGATACTTAGAGAAAAATATGTTCTTTGTTTAAAAACAAAAGCTTTTAATGGAAATTCGACCTATGGCTTGCTAAAAAAAAAAAAAAAAAAAAAAAAATTACTCTTCCCTGGTGGAATTTTTCTGGGAAGATAAAGATTTATTATAATGAAGTATGTATAATTAAAGACTACCCTTTATAGAAGACATCCATTAAGTCTTTCTTGCTGCAGCCTTTTTTATTTATGGGAGTAAGAGTGTGTAGAGTACATTTCATCTTTAAAGTACCTTAGCAAACATTAAGTAATTTTTGCAGTAGTATTAAAAGGCAATATTTTTAATTTTTAATTTTACATTTCTCAAATTGGTTCATGAAAAACTAAGGCTTAGTGGTTCACATATAGCCGTAGATGGGGTGGTGTCAGTCAGGATTACAGTTTTTCATTTTGTCTGCACTCTCGACTATGTCTTACATAATATAGGAAGAACTGGAACTTTTAGTGAATTTTTCTGAAGTTCTCCAAGCAGAAAAAGGAGCAATGCTCATAAGATGTTTTAAGGCTGTGTACAGGAAAACGCAAGGGAAGACCAGAGGGGGCCACTGCGGGTGACGTGGGACTGAGGACGGTGGATGCTGATGCATCCTCAACACATGAGGAGCAGCTGCTGGAGGCTGGACCGCGGGGCAGGAGAGCTGGGTGGGCTGGAGGCTG